TGTTGGTTTGTATAGGTATTATTATTGTTTCAGCTAATGTCTTGTGCAGACTTCAATTGGGCACCCAGTTTATTTCTCATGGGGAATACCGTGGTAGTGGCATGTTAATTAAAAAGTCTGTATGTTCTGAAGTAGTCATCTACAACTTGGATTTATTATAGTTATTTTTACGTGGTGATATTGCTACTCCGTTTGTAAGGTCTGGTGACCAACTCGGTGTTATCCTTGCCAAACAACTGGCACGGTCCACCTTTAGTAGCCTTTGTTGCAAGTTGGACATTTTTTATCTCTCTGCTCTTGCTTGAAGGGAATGTTAGAGGATTACTTTCCTATAGTTATATGAATCTATTATGTTACTTTTCTATTGTTCTATTTTCCTATTATATCAATATCAATCTGATACAAATAGGTCAACTGTGCAGGCAGCACAAACCATTGTTTCATAATCTCTTCCTTCATCTCTTCTTCCTCTTCCTCTTCTTCTTATTCTTATTTTTCTTCTCTTTCTTCCTTAAATCCTAATATTCAACTTTAAAAGACTAATACACGGCTGAAGGTGAGACTGTAACTTGAAGGCGAGTTTGTATCCAGCCCTCCTTTCCCAGGAACTACAAATGGTTGAACAACCACTTGCTCTAACCACTAGTTATATCAAGTTAAAATAATACATGTGAATTGTTGCACATAATTTACCAGGAGTGAAGCTTATCTTGGTTTTCCTGTTTCTATCCTCCTTTCTGTTCTCAATATTCCCTTTATCACCAGGACACTGGTCATAGAGGGTTCAGGATCAGTGCTTCATTATTTTACTCTTCAATATGTTTGGTGTTCGTCAGTGCTCTTACACCTTTTATTTGTTTTTGTTCGATGTGGACACAGCAACATCTATTGAATCCTTCAGTGGAGTTGCATATTACTTTAAGCAGTTGGATTGTTCCCAGAACTTCTTGTTAGTGCCTTTACACTTCACGAATTGTTGTGTCCTTTGCAAGAATTACCAAGATGATGTTAAGTTTGGAAATCTTTGTTTAGAAATAGTTTGTCGAAAGTGAATTATGAAAAAAATAAAATCTCTTAATTTGCTTCCTTATTTTTAGAGTGAACGTAGTGTCCTTAATTCAGTCTCCAATTGTACAATAATGCTGAAGAAGAATTGCTCTAGCCCTGGGTCTGATGAATGAATTTGAATCTGCTGGATCAATGTCATCTATACTATAACATATGGTTTGAATAAATTTTGGTAGATAGGAACACATCTCAAATCTTTTCAGAAATAGAGATGCTGAAATGAAGAAGTTTACTATGAGAAGATACTTGGTTTTATGTAATGGTGAAAGAAAATACTTCCAAAATTAAGGTCGTCGAGAGAAGGTACTTTTGCCCTTTCACTTTGCACCATATCTTATGATACTTATCTTACCATACGTTTTGATACAATAAAAAAACGAGAATATCAAAATGACCTCGTTTCACAAGGCTTTTTCTACCTAAACAATGAAACAACGTTGTTTCCCCAATTTGTCATTTTTATTTTTGGTTTGACCTCAAACAAACGAAGTTCTCAATCATCTTCTTCTCCCAAGTCCTTCTTTTTGTTTCTTCTGCATATTATTCTTCTTCTCATTCAAGCAAATGAAACCTATCTACATTTAAATCGTTGTTGTGAAGACAACGATTGTTCCTTTTTTGATCTCTATTGGACACACGAAATGATAAGTGAATTTAATAGGTCAAAAAGAAAAAAATTGTTGCCCTTGATTTCTTAACATGAAAATGATTTTTATTACCTCTTAGTCCTTAATATAGATTGATGATTATTTAATAAATGGATAGTGTTTCTTTTTTCAGCTGTTCTTGAGACCTAGTTCAGTTTGGAATTCTATGCTCTAGTTTATCCTAATTGTCAAATGATTTTAGGATAAATGGTATGATTTCAACACAGAGAACTGACTCACGATTTGTTTAGAGATAGATACCATACCAAGCGCAAAGGGGATGCTAACATAGTAGCATTGAACTTGTTGGAATCATAGAGTATAGACTAATTTCTTTACTCTTTGGAGCTGCACTCTGTTTGGGATGGAAACACAACCATATTGTTTCCTTCAGCAGCAGATATTCTAATTCATAGATTTTTATTTTTCATTAATTTTCCAAAACTTAGGAAAATTTTGAATGAAAAGCATCTTTTAAAAATGCCTTTTAATTTGTATTATCCATAAACATCTAGGGAATTTGGCTTCCAGGTGAAGCATAAAAGACTAACACTCTGACATGAAAGTGGTTGAGCATGAGATTCTAAATGTCTATAATCTCTTTCCTACTCTCTCTCTCTCACTCTCATGCACACACACACAGAGGCCAGCACTTCCTGAGGATCCTCATTTCTATAGTGCACTAGTAGTTCCTAAGTCATGGCATCATATATGCCACAGTCACTTTTATTTCCTTTCTCTATATTTTATACTGATTTCATTTTCTTTTGTTTTGCTATTTGTTTGACATGTACACTATTGAACACCTGGTTTTCTTTTACAGTTGTGAATTTAACCGTCATAGATCTCCCTGGATTGACAAAGGTTGCTGTAGGTGAGCATCAAAATATTAGTTTGTTATAGGTATAATTCAAGACAGTGTTAAGAATGACTGATATCAGATTACTTAACTACAGTTTCAATTTTGCAGAGGGACAGTCGGAGAGTATAGTTGAAGATATTGAAATGATGGTCCGGTCTTATGTTGAGAAGGTAAGGTGACCGTGTTATAGCGGCAACCAAGGATCAAAATGTCGTGTCGACACGTCCGAAATGTTTCGGAATTTCAACACTCCGAAACGAAACAGTGGTTGAATAACAAAATTCCAGTGTTTCGGTCGAAACGGCACTGTTTCAGACCGTTTCGGTCGAAACAGTACCGTTTCGGTCGAAACAGTACCGTTTCGGTCGAAACAGTACCGTTTCGGTCGAAACAGTACCGTTTCGGTCGAAACAGTACCGTTTCGACAAAACAGTGATATATTCGGTTCACTCAACTTTAATTACATTTAATTCCCCATTGCTCTTCTGTCTTTTATAATTTTTTTGTTATAAGAATGAATAATTACACTTAATACCCTACTGTAATTATATTTAATACTCACTGTAATTATATTTAATACTTACTGTAATTACATTTAACACCCCACTGTTGTGCAAGTCTTCTGTTTTTTTTTTGTTATAAGTATTAACAATTACATTTAATACCTTAATATAATTATATTTAATACTCATTGTAATTACATTTAATTTTTAAGTATACATAAGTACCATTAATTTAATTTGATACCCTTCATTATCAGTATTATAATAAAATAGTATTATTAATTGGATAATATTTTAATTTAAAAGTGTTATACATGTCATATTTAATTTGTAGAATGAATATAATGTGTTTGATAATGCAATGACATTTATTATAAATATGACATTTTTATGTAAAAATGTGTTTATTTGATAAAAATTAAGTGTTTGAAACTAATTTAAGTGATTTTCGTCTCATGTCAAACCTTTTTTTCCCTCCAATTTAAAGTTATTCTTGTATAAATGAATGTTAGCCCAATAAATATGTTCAATTAATCAATTATTTAGCTTATCTTTATAAATTAATGGATTGTATTTGTGTTTCCATGCGTTTCCATATTTTTTCTGCGTTTCCAAAACGTTTCCGTTTTTGAGCCGACCGAAACGGTGCTTCGAAACGAAATTTCGATCCTTGGCGGCAACACCTAATTGCTTCAGTTACTTTCTGTTTTTTAAATCCAGGATCTGCCCAGTCATTGACTAGGAAGTCTAAATAAGTTGCATGTGAAATTATTCTCATCAGGAACTCATAAGATCCACCATTTACTATTCATCCAAGCAAGTTAGTGAATGTATTTTCCTGGAATATATCAAATGTGGCACCTCTGAGGATAGGAAAATATAGAAATGATTGAAGGAATATTTCATGGTTTTATATCAATCAGATATCTCCTTTTCACTTTTGAGATTTAAAGAAGTTGGGATTAAGGGTTCATTGAGTTGAATAGATTTTTGCAGTACCTCATTAGCATGCACAAGGCTGGCAGATAGAGAGAGGCACGAGCAAGTTCTTCAGAATCCAATTGCAAAGGCTGTTTGGTGGAGAATTGTTCATTTATGTGGATTATCTTTTCGCACATCGATAACGATTGATGAAAACAAGTATACTGTTATTTAGGGAAAATAAAAGTTTCTGTGCAGTTGCTGCACGTGTAGGAGATGAAATTCAGTTAAAATTATGGATACGGTATTTTACACCCCCCCCCCCGGTGTACCTCAAACTCAGAATGGATCCTATATCAGAGGTAAGTTTGTGAAGCTTCTGAGTTTAGATAAGTAATCAACTTTATGGATACGATATTTTACACTCCCCGTGGCTTTTGTGCTTCAAACTCGTAATGGATCCAATATTGGAAGTCAGTCCAGAACAGGGGCAAAGCCACTCAGTGCATTGTGGGAGCAACTGCCCCCACTCAATCTTTGTTTGCAAACAAATTTCTATACATGGTTTGATGTATTTTAAAATTTGCCCACTCAAAACAAATAAAATCTCATGCATCTTAATCCAATTAATCATCTCTCACGTTTGGATTAAATTTCTACTCTTAATCTCATAAATTTTTATAATTCGTTTTTTGAATCCCCTCGACATGTTTTTGAAAAACCATTCCAAAGCTTTGTGTTCCCTCTCTCTCTCTCTCTCTCTCTCTTTATATTTTGTTCCGTCTCTCGCGCTCTCTCACTATTGTTAATTTGAATGTATTGAGAAAACATCATTAATAATATTGTAATGAGATTATTATACAATGTTTTCGAATTATAAAAACTACTCAGGAACATTGTAAATGTGCTGAATATTACTGATCAATATTAAGGTTTTGCATTTATTATTAGTTCAATCTTTTTATTGTGTTATTGCTTAAATTTTCCCCCACTACGGTAAGTTTCTGGCTCTGCCCCTGGTCCAGAAGATTAAAATAACTTTGTGAAGCTTGTGAGATTTAGATAATCAATAAACAAGTTGAAGCACTTTAGTGAAGTTAGGTAGTGTAAGCACTCAAAATGATCCATCAAATGACAAATGAAATTTCAATAACACTAGAATTATCTCCGTAGGGACCCTATTGGGTGTTGAGCAATATGTTGTTGATCGAAGTATTGTTGACAATTTATGAATATCAGTAATGTACAGCAGAATCTCTTTGGCCAACTATGGCAGCAGTCATGACTTCTTGGTTGAGTCTTGCGTTTAGCATCAGGCTAGTTCTTTTACCTCCATCCTTGTATATAGCCTTAATTTTCTTATCATATAACTTTTGAGGTGAACAATTTAAAATTCATATTGCACTTATGATGCAAGTATGAAGAACCATTACCCATATTCAGTTATGACAAACTTGGATAGTCAGGAATTAAGGGGCCACTCCTTACTTCAGTGGTAAAGTTTGCGGGCAATCAACCGTGACAATGCATTTCGTGTATGAAAGCAAAACTAGTCTCTGCAAATATAAGGAATGTTAGATCTTCCATCAGTCTGCTTCTCCTTGAAGATTGCGTGAGTGCGGCTGTACTGACTAGTGAGTGATGGGCTCTTAGAAAGCCATATAGTTTAAGATCACTTTTAAGCAAGATGATGCATAGGCTTGTGCCATGAGCACCAGTTTCACTAGTCTCAAATTTTTTGAACATTAAGCTAATACCAACTCTATCCGCTTTGTGGCCATCAAAATCATTGTTTAAGAAATTCTTTGCATAATCTGATCGTTGAGGCCGTCTGATGGAACATTCTTATTTTTTTAGCCCAATTCCATCATATTGGCAATTTCTCCTGCCAATCAAGATATTGCTACTTCTGACGCAATAAAGCTTGCCAAAGAAGTTGATCCTACAGGTATTGTTTAGTTGGTGCAGTACTTCGCTCAGTTTCTTTGTTCTCCCAATGAGTTGTTTTCAATTGGATTTCTTGTTTGCTATGCGAGATATTTTTTGCTAATAATATTTGCTATTCAGGTGAGAGAACATTTGGAGTGCTAACAAAACTTGATCTGATGGACAAGGGAACCAATGCCCTAGATGTATGGGTTCTGTATTTATAATTGGTCAAACAATACACCTTACTTGCAATTGTAGAATCCTGACAACATAGTTGTTCTTGTCTTTCGGTTTGTACCTTACAAACCTTATTATCTGGTGTTTCCTTTGTTTATCCTCAGTTCTATCATGTTTAAGGTACTCGAGGGAAGAGCATACAGACTCCAACATCCCTGGGTTGGAATTGTGAATCGTTCACAAGCTGATATAAACAAGAATGTTGACATGATAGTGGCCCGTCGAAAGGAGCAGGAATATTTTGAATCCAGCCCAGAATATGGACATTTGACGCATAAAATGGGCTCAGAGTATCTTGCAAAACTTCTATCAAAGGTTTTTCTTTCCTCCTCAGATATTTGCTTGTAGTTGTCCTCCTTACATTATGAACTACAGACCAAACTTACATTGAGTTTTTTTACTCCGAGTATAAATCAGCACTTGGAGACTGTTATCAGGCAGCGCATCCCAAGCATTATTGCTTTAATAAATAAGACGATTGATGAGCTTAACGCAGAATTGGACCGTATTGGCAGGCCTATATCCTTGGATGGAGGGGTAATTGACGGAATCTATTTAAAAACATTATTTTTTGGTTGTAAATGAGAATGTTTGCAGCCTTGAGTTAATTTCTTGAAGTATTTTATCTGTATATACAGGCCCAGCTGTACACAATTTTGGAAATGTGTCGTGCGTTTGACCGTATATTTAAGGAGCACTTGGATGGAGGGTAGTGCTAAATATTTTGTTTATGGCATTCATTAGAAGTTTTTAAAATCATAGAATTCTATACTTGACATGTGTTATTCGTTGTTGACGAACTTAGTGATTATTTGTTACCAGATCTGCATGTGGAGAGGCTATGAAATATTGTAACAAAGAGAAAGTTACTGAAGCTAATTATCCAAAGAATAGAGTTCATCTCCCCATCCCTATGCAAAAGATAAATAAATTTTTGTATTCACACATTGTTGCGGTAAATAATGCCATTGCTGCAAGAATAATTGGCAAAGTTTTAAAGAATAGTAAATAAGCTGTACGTTGGAATAATTATGAAAATATGGAAAGTTCTCACATTTTTGTTACACCAATAGTATATAACTTGAATCTCAAAATAGTATATAACTTGTTAACATGGATAGCCTATCCTTGAGAGGCCACAGGTGGGGGCAGGGGGTGTTGAATTATTTTGTACATCTCTAATAGCATACACTTCTAGACCGATCTATTATGAATAAAGGATGCTAGTGATTGGATGTATTTGAGTAATGAAAAATCATGTTCCTTGAATGTAATGCCTTAAACCCACTGTCAAGATATTGTCCACTTTGCCCATATGCTATTTGTTTTAAAATGCATCCTTACATGGTAAGGATTAAAGTCTAGATATAACGCACCCTGTCAAATTTTGGATAAAGAGATTGAGAGAGAAAATGGAAGAGAAAGAATCACAACCATAAAATGTCGTTCATTCCAGATCTACATCCACAACAAACAAAATCCCCAACAGCTACATTTTTATTATTCTCACTTAATTGAATACATAAGTCACCTATATTTACCAAGTAACAAAAACATAAGACAAGGAAATAATCTGTCAATTATTTGTGATTGATTGAGAAAATCATGGAATCAACATGTGAGTCGCCTGTCAATAATCAAGAGTCAACCATTCTGCCAAGCATTTGATTTGATTGTGTTGACCCATCAATCATGGGATATTAGACACTCCTCCTCAAGTTGACACACTAAAAAGTTGAGTTGAAGTGGCCAACTTGGACTGAAAGAATGGACTGCGGTTGTTATGTCTGTGACATTGTTGAAGTTTCTGGGAATAGGACTTAGTTGAATGTCCTGAAAAATGCATCTTTGTTGATAAAGTCCTTTGAATGACATGCAGGGGGGCGGGTGAATTTGAATGGAAAGACCTACCGTGCCAATACGTTGAGGGGACAATATGGACCCATCATGCAAACACACAAAAGATGCACAAAATGGACACCACACAGATACACAGAAAAAAGATTTTGGAATGAGAATCGTGCAGTTACGAGGAAAAATGTGAATGAAATTAACATCCTTCAAATACGAAGCAAAAACGAAAGCAAGCAAGGTTGAATTGATCCGCTCAGATAGAATGTCAAATTTTTTTAGATAAAGATAATCAAGAGAGAAAATGAAAGAGAAAGGAACAAAACCATATTATTTTTGATAACGATATCGAAGAAAGAAATGGACGACAAAGGAAAACAACCATATAATGTGGATCTGTCCTAAGACCTACATCCATGACATACAAAACTCCGAAGGGCTACATTTGCATTATTCTCACTTTGTTGTATACAATATGACAATCATTGACAGCAAATTGGTAGTACATCATGACAATGTGTTGATATGTTTCGTACTAATTGATTTGATTATTAGTTGATCTAAAGGTTAGGCTTATTGTCTCAGCCAAACATTTGATGATAGTGGTTCAAGAGCTAAATTATGTTGACTAATTTAAAACATTTTATTTATCATATTTTGGCAACTCGTGAACTTGGGGGATAGATATTTATCACGCTCATAATGTCACATGATCTAGATGCCACAGAAAAATAATGTCTCTTGATTCAGATTAGATTTTCAAATTTCTACTTTGATTTCTCTCTAGAGTATGTTATATGGTAACAAATTTCTTATTCAGGCGACCAGGTGGAGATCGGATTTATGGTGTCTTTGATAATCAACTACCAGCTGCTTTGAAAAAGCTCCCATTGGATCGTCATCTTTCTTCCAATAATGTCAGAAAAGTGGTTTCAGAGGCAGATGGTTATCAGCCACATTTGGTAGCGCCTGAACAAGGATACAGAAGACTAATTGATGGGTCTCTAGGCTTTTTCAAGGGCCCAGCCGAAGCTTCTGTTGATGCTGTAATATTCATAATTTCTATTTAATATATTTGAATTTTACCGATCTTATTATGCCAATATATGGATTTCTCTATGATTAGAGTTATATACAAACATATTGGATCCTTTTAGATGATATGTTTACCAATCCTTGTATCTTCTTTATCTTGAATGTCAGGGATATGCATAATCACGATGAGGATAATGTCTCCATGATTTTGTCAATTTCTATGCTCAATTAGGCCGTTTAACATAGTAGATTCTTTATGTTTTTTTTAATTTGTCAATAATTAAGTGCTTTTTCATTGTTATTTAAGTCTACATGGTTGTTTCATACTGAAAATTAATCTCCACCTTTTACCAGATTTTTCATATAACTAAGAATATCATAACTGTTGCTCTATAGAATCTTTTGGTAGTGGATTGAAGATTATTAAGTTACAATCTCGGCCTTAAGCTGAATAATGGTAGGGTGCTGTTGTCCATGTGGCAGTTAGAGAGACCAATTCTACTGACCAGAAAAAGTAGGTTTCATATTAGGTTTGGAGAGGCAAGCTGGAAGATCGAGCTTTTGGTGACAAACTATCCTTAGGTAATTTCTAAATGAGACTCATTCAATTAAAAGAAGGGAGATCAAAAGTCTTACAATTGACAAGAGTTCTACAGACTTTCAGGCATCCATACATATGGAAGCTGACTTGGAGTTAGTTTCTTTGCAAGCATACTATAGAGGTAGAATTGAGTTGCAAAGTTTAAGAAGCTCTAAGTGAGTCGCTGGGGATTGGACTTCTAATGGATGGGACTTTCTCTGATTCTAGTGTACTAAGATATTAGAATTGCACACTGTTTAACTAGTAGATGTGCTCATACCATAAGTAACTTCAACTGGAGGTATGATGGAGTTATATTAACTGACTTACTACTCCAATAATTTCAGATCAATTCATCTATATTACATCTATATGTTGTCGTTTATTGTACTCCAGAGATGGGGGGAAAAAGGTGTCACTACTCAATTAGCTTTTGAGGTTGGGATAGAGAAGTGGAGTTAAAACTGTGTCTGCATTTCAATTGACTTATTAACAGTTATGGGAAGGTGTTAGAAGCCTGCTTTGTAAAGTTGTTTTCCAGAAGAAAGAAATCTTCTGTGTTCTGTGTGTTTAGTGTGCAGAAAGATAAAGACTACATTTTGATCAGTGGATACTTCTTTGAAGTAGGGAAGTTGGACACCATTGTGTGTAGGTTTGTCCTTTTCTTGTGAAGATTCGTAGAATTCAGAATATTAAAGGTAATGATGGCAAAGTGTAAAAACCAATCTTTCTCTTTCATGTGTTGAGAATAATTGCTTATTACACGTTTTGTAGTGGTGACTTAGAGCATGAGCCTTCCTGTCATTAATTGCTTACCTTTTAAGTGACCTGGATACTTCTACACCTTCTAGGTAACCCAGACGCTTTTATTAAAGCTGTGTCTGTCTCAGATACAAATACATCTTCAACAAAGTTAAACTTAAATCTTGGTAATTTTAGAAGTGAGATAAAGTAAGGTTTTTTTCAGAGGAAGAGATGCTGTATCAAAGTAAACTATCAAATGAAAACCTAATTCCACACGATATAGGTATTACTTTTGTGGTTGTCCTTCAACAAGATCACCTCTAGTTCAAGTGTTTGTGTGAAGAAATTCTTCCGTTGGTATGCTGGAAAGTACTGAGGTTTTTTCAGCAGGACTTCAATGGATATGAACCATTTGATCTTTTCATTCTCTTAACAAGACCTATGGTGTACGGAATTATTTTTATTTCTCTGTAGGGGAACTAAGTAACTGAAATCACAGTAGCCATCTTAAAGAAAAAGAAAGAAAAAAGCTAATAATTTGTGACCTGATTGGCCGACTGGGAACAGGATAACTTTGGTTGAGCATCCTATGTTGTGTCATCTGTTGGGATTTATGCAAGTGGCTTTCCATTGGTTGATGATGTTAAGATGCTTTTCCTCCTCCAAGACATGTCAATGCTGGTGGTTATTGTGAGTTTGTCACCTCATCTCATGGTGATCCCAGATATGAAGAAGTTGAACTCGTGGAGAACGTATTTATCAGATGTAGATGACAGCCAAAATGTACTTTTTGTTGTACTCTCTGTCTTATTTAAAACAACCACTGCAAAACAGGTAGTTTGTTTACTACCATTCTCATCATTGATTTAGTTTACATTTTGTCCTCTTCTTCAGGTACACTTCGTTCTAAAAGAACTTGTGAGGAAATCCATAGCAGAAACGCAGGTAAACAATCCTAAACCATAGGAAACTTGTTGCAAAAAGTGAAGTATGTTAGTGGCATCATATTAGTCTTCACTGAGTTGCTTGTGTATATTGCCCTAGCAATGGGGTCAATTCTATTTAGTTTATTATCTTCTACTTTTTGAAATGAAATAGATAAGTTGTATTAAGGGAGATGAATGATACCGGAATTCAATGTGATTTGGATATTGCCTTACTTCCATGGCACACAGCCTAAAAAGCTAGATCTTGTTTATTAGCTTCTCTGAAGTACTGAAAGGCAGCAAATCCGTATTTATGGGGTAAAGATAGTGCAAGAGGATGAATTATGATTGAAATTTTGATGGATTGAGTGACTCATGAAATTGAACCCGTGATTCACAAACTCGTGAAGAACTCACATTTAATGCATAATTTTTTTTATTTCTCCAATTTTCATGAGCTACCAACCTACCACAATTATCGGATTCTTCATTCCCTTTCATAAGAAATTCCAGTATCAGAAAGGAGTTTTTGAAAGTCAAATTAGTTCTACTTGGTGCTAAGTGGACTTGGATATGTGTCTGCTGCGTATGAAAGATATAAGCTGCCTAATCATAGAACGGAGACATGGCAAAATTTTCAAACATTTTAGTTTTTCAATAATTTGGAAACTAAGTTATCTAATGCATAGTCATCTCACGTGCTTATCCCGTTATTAGTCTTTGTGTTCATTTTTAGGATGTCTGAAACATAAGACCATTTTAAAAGTCAACCTATTTAGTTTATAGTCTCCCATTTTTATCTTTCTTCTCTAACATAGGAAAATAGCATACCAAGAAAAATTCTAAGATTTTGTGCAGTAATAGTGAGAAGTAAACCTTACTACTCCATGCAAATCCCAAAAGGTACAATTAAAATGGGGCAGAGTGAGTATAGATGATTGGTTACAAAATCATCTTGGAATTTCAGAAAAGTAGAATCTGTGATTTTTCTTGACTTTCCTCAAAGTGAATTGCTAGTACATGTCCATATACTAGCATGCCACTATATTTGAATGTATAAGAGAAGTTTTTCACACATTTTGAAGGTTCCATGTGGTATGTGTGATTTTTTCATAATAAATTTAGCAAATAATGCAAGCATTAAGAATGTCCAGAGAATAAATAAAAAAGACTATTTGGACAGGGCTCAATCTCATTATGGCAGTATTAAAATTTATCTCAATGACCAATCCAGTCTTATTTAATTTCAAGAGTTTGCCTTCTCATTCCTTTTCCTTTCCACATTGTTTCTCTCTCTTTCTTTCGGCCATTTATCCCTTCCTTGTTAATGATATAGGTTAGATCCATACTCAGTCCACCCCCATTATCATCGTTTACTTGGATTGAACTGTGTAAATAGCTTATAATAAAGCAATATAAACTAAAGAAAAGTTAAATGAATGTCAAAAAGATGTCTCTGAAATGGAAAATGGAGCATTGTTCCACTAAAATGTCAAGGAATCGTAACTAGATTAGTAGAATTGGGGATGTGATAATATTTTTTGCATAAGTGTATACCTGTGACTTTTTGGTGGGGCCAATGTCAATTGGTAAACCAAAAGTATGAAACAAAAACTTCCTCCATTGTCACAAGCAAGGATCGAAATTTCGTTTCGAAGTACCGTTTCGGTCATCTAAATTTCCGAAACGATTCGGAAACGTTTCGGAAATGCAATGGAAACGCAGAAAAAATATGGAAACGCGTGGAAACACAAATACAATCCATTAATCTATATCTATAAAGATAAGCTAAATAATTGATTAATTCAACATATTTATTGACTTAACATCCATTTATAGAAGAATAAATTTAAATTGGAGGGAAAAAAAGACTTGACATGAGGCGAAAATCACTTAAATTAGTTTTAAACACTTAAATTTTTATCAAATAAACACATTTTTATATAATATTAAGATCTCATAATACACATGAAATGCTAATGAGTACATACTTACATGGCTACATCCATCCCCCTGTGGAGTGTCGAGCAGGCTCATACATTGGTGTAGGCTCTAGGTAGCTACTTAGAGAAACTCTATATGTGACATAAATATGATGACAATAGTTACTCCAACTCATATTATTACGATAATATGAATTATATTCTCTTCCAAACCTCTGATAGTCTGCAACACTACATCCAATCTGTTGGGGAACGAATGCACCAGTCCCTGACCAATCTTTATCTTGTCTATATGAGGAGGATGTCTGGGAGTCATAGCCAGATCCATAACCATATGTTGAGGATCCATATTCGTATCCTCGTGTGTCATACCCCGATCCATAATCATATGAGGGAATACCATATCCAGAACCATAACCATATGAAGACGACGAACCATAATTATGGTGTTCACTTCCACTTCCACTTCCACTTATACTCATGGTAGAAAAACCATCATTAATCATATCAGTTCCATGCCTAATAGCACCCATACCATGTGGAGTGATCGGATTTTGAGTACGCTCACGTTGACAATCTCGAGTTGATTTTGAGCGTCGTTCATATTGAAGCATTCGTCGAGAGCCATGATCTTCATCTTGTGTAGCATGTGTAAATCCTTCCTCTACAGTGAATACAATTCCATGTGGACTTTGGCTCCCCATACCTCCATCACCACCATGGCTATCACCACCACTGTCACCTTCTCCACTACCACCACCACCACTATCTTTATCATCATCTTCACCGCCATCATCATTGCTACCATCACTATTATGATCATCATCAGTACTACTAGTGACAGTGATAGGTTGCTTACGTCTTGGTGGACCTCTCATTAGTCTGTCAAATTCTTCATCATCCATTGCTTTACTTGATCCTCCTCTACTTATTTTGAATCTTGATTTTTGTGGTGGCACAACACCTTGACTTAGGCCTATTCCTCTATCGTCATCGGAAAAACGATTTGCCCACGTCGATAGGAAAGTGTTTGGTCTTGTTGATTGCCCATCATCATCAAGTTCATCTAAAAGTGCATCACCAGGATCATCTAACCACTCTGAAATACCTTCATCTTCGTCAAAAACAGTGGTTAAGTCTATAGGTCTGAATTCATACCCTTTTTTGTCTTTCATAAGGTGCTTTAACTTCAACCTCATGTTATATTGTGCAAACACCAGCCTTTCTAATTTTTGATAATTGAGTCTATTCCGCACTTTAGTGTGAATGAGAGCAAATGTACTCCAGTTTCTCTCACAACCACTAGATGAAGCTGTTTGCGATAATATTTTCATAGCAATCTTTCTCAAATTTGGAGCATCAGTGCCATACATAAACCACCATTCAGCTGCATAATAATAAGAAACATATTAAAACTTAAAGAAAAATATAAATAGAAAATCATGAGAATAAAATATAAAAGTGTAAATAATCTACTTAATTACCTGGATCACTTTTTGTTCTTCCTCTAATTGCAGCTTGGTCAGCAAAACAATACATAGCCTCCCGAAATATTTTTACCTAAATATCATGGGTATATTGATGTTATATATTAATTCAGCATATTTGTAAATTGAGATTGAAATACTAAAGTATTACCTCTGCAAGTGCTTCAGCAGCCTTGTTTGGATTTGTTTCTAGTCTAGACACAACGATCCGAAGCGAACCCAAGAAATTTTCTAATACACCAACATCTTCTTCATAATGGTATGTGGGGTTCAAGTAATAAGCTACACAATATAAAAAATGATAACACTTATAAATGATAACATTCAAAATGATAACACTTATCAATAATAAAAATATAAATTGATAAACAATAAGTTTACCTGCCATATGAATATGTTGAATGATTTGTTTTTTCCATCGAGCATCAATGATGTCAAGATATTTTTTGCACGATTTAGGAGCCGCATCTTTGACAGCTTGTCTTGCTCGTTTCATTGCTTCATATACATATGGAATTGTTGCTTTTCTTTCCTCATCCACCATTCTTAGAACTTTTGCAATAGGTGTATGCATATTCAACACATTTTTGGCGGTCTCCCAAAATTTAGGATTTAGAATTGTCCCTTGAACTCGCTTTCCAACTGGATCCTTTGCTGCCGCAGTCCTAGACCAATCTTCTGAAGTAAATATCCTTTGCAAACCATTTCTCTGCTCCAACATACTTTGTAAGGCAATATAATTAGTGGCAAATCTTGTTTGCCCTGGCCGAATCAATTCCCCCGAACAAAATGTTCGCATTATATCCAAGACTCTATTATGATTATAAATAAAATTTGTCACTCTTTTAGCTTGCTCTAGTACATTTTGAACCGTTTCAATCTTGGAAAAATCATGCAAAATCAAATCTAGAGAGTGGGCAGCACAAGGAGTCCAATATAAGTGTGGTCTTCTTTCCATCAACATTTCACCAGCTTTTTTGTACGCACTGCCATTGTCTGTAATAATCTGAACCACATATTTCTCTCCAATCTCTTCAACAACAGCATCCATCAAACCCAAAATATAATTAGCATCCTTGTCATGACCAGAACTATCAATTGACTTGTGGAAAACAATTTTTCCATCACAATATATCAAGAAGTTAATGATAGATAATCTTGTGGTGGATGTCCATCCATCACACATGATTGTCACTCCATAAATCTCTCATTTCTTTTTGAACTGGTCAATGTACTCTTTCAGCTCATCTATCTCATTATCTAGCAATGGTCCGCCAATCTCATATGGGGTTGGGCCTTTCACACCCACTCCAGCTAAAGCAATTTCATCAATCATCAATTGGTAAAAATGACCTTGAGCTTTGCTTAGTGGAATATTCTCATAAATGAAATACTTTGCAATAGCATGTTTTGCCGACTTTGCCCATTTTTTCGAATTCCACATATGAGTTAGCTTGGCTTGCTTTACTTCCCTATTCCGATACATCGAAGGATCCATCTCTTCTATCGTGAGATCCTTTTCTCTGCCCATCCACTTTTGTGATTTTCTTGAGAATTTATCCCAAGATTCCTTCACACTATGTGAGCGCATTAAACCCTTAGATATACCACTTTTTTGGATAGATGGTCTAGAACTTCCTCCTCTAAAGCCTTGCTCGGCCATATGTATATCACGAATAGATTGTTGTTTTGCATACTCAATATCATCTCTATATTCTATATCCATATCATCATCTGAATTCTCATCGGAAGAATAAATTTCAATACCACTCCTCCGCCTCGATCCACCAATTAAATTTTGTCTCATTTTTCTCCGTTCACCAGTCACTTCTGCATTTTCAGTCTTGTTGCGATTCAAGTAATCCCTCATAGCTTTCGCAATTTCAATAGGACACTTATCACATTGTTCCACATTATTATAACCGCCTGCCAAGTGTTGCTTTAACCGTGACACACCGCCACTCATCATTTTTTTATGGCAAAAATTACACATTACATGTTGTCGATTATCCCCAATTCGTTCGCCGTAATTCCATCCAATATCACGTTTTTTTTTTTTTTCTGCGATGATTCAGTAGCTATATTCTTTCCTTTTGATGTCATATCTACAATAAATATCATTACGTTATTAAATATATTAAATTAATTTTACAAATTAAATATGACATGTATAACACTTTTAATTCAAATATAATAATATAAAAGAATAATTACAAAAATAAAAAAAAATAATGAAGGGTATCAAATTAAATTAATGGTACTTATGTATGCAGTGGGGTATTAAATATAATTACAGTTGGGTGGTAAATGTAATTGTAGTGGGATATTAAATGTAATTACAGTGGGTATTAACTATTAAATGTAATTGTAGTGGGTATCAAGTATAATTACAGTGGATATGAAGTGTAATTACAGTGGATATCAATTGTAATTACAATGGTATTAACTATTAAATGTAATTATAGTGGGTGGTAAATATAATTACAGTGGGTATTAACTATTATATGTAATTACTGTTGGGTATTGAATGTAATTACCGTATGTATTAAATATAATTATAAGGGGTATTAAATATAATTATTCATACATGTAACAAAAAAAAATATATATATATATATATATATATATAAGGCAGACGGCATAAACGACTCAGACAAAACACTCACACCACAGCCGAGTGTTTTGGTCGCAGCGATGGTCGCAACGATGGGAGAGAGAGAGAGAGAGAGAGAGGAAGAAGAAGAAGATACCTCGGCGATGGCGATGGCGAAGGCTCTGCGTGGAAAATTCGAGCACTAGATCTGCGTGGAAAACCCGAAAATGGCTGAATCTCCTGAAATCTGGACTCAAGGTTAGTTCCTCTAGTCTTCTCCTTCAATTTCTCTGTCTCTTCGAGCTCCCGATTTTGATCCAAAATGCTTTCTGTCTCTTCGAGCTCCCGAATCTCCTTCAATCTGGACTCCCGATTTTTTCTCTGTTAAATTGGACTGACTTGTGGAAGGAATCTGCTTTCTGTGCCTCATGTGATTTCTGTTAAATTCTTGTGCTTTCTGTGCCTCATGTGATTTCTGTGCCTCATGTGACTCCCGATTTTTTCTCTGTTAAATTCTGACCGACATGTGAAAGGGTATCTCTGTTTTTTTGTTACCTGGAGTGAACCACATCCAATCTGTACTGTTTCGATGGAAACGGTACCGATTCGACCGAAACGGTCCGATACACTGCCGATTCGAACTAAACATTGAAATTTTAGTATTCATCCCCTGTTTCGTGTCGGTGTGTTGGATTTCCGAAACGTTTCGGACGTTTCGGATGTTTCGACACGAGATTTCGTTCCTTGGTCACAAGTGAAAGTGTAGAGTAAGTTAGCTCCTACTTGCCTATTGCTGGACAATGTTGGATGCAAATGTCTGTCAGGAAGGTATAGAAGTATAGGGTTGATCTACAATTGCCATTGCCATTTATCATAGGTAATTCAAGCAATATCATGGATCCCTTCCCCTCATGTATAATAAATCAGAAGGTAAAGTGAAATAAATTAAATTTATCTGTAATAAAAGTTGACATGCACTCTCCATTATCTTGGTTCATTTCCTCTAGAGAGGCCCAAGTATGCTGTCAGTTAGAGCTAAGTCTTTTTCTGACAGTAACTGTGTGATTTTAAAGATTACTGGCACAGTGTCATACTTTCTACTTGCTATGCACGTACACTCATGCCTTGTGGTGTACTGTGTACATAATTATCTTAATTCCCATTAAACACCACTTCATGAGTAATGCAGGAATTGAAGCGATTCCCATCACTTCAATCTGATATAGCAGCAGCTGCAAATGACTCACTGGAAAGATTTCGTGACGAAAGCCGGAAAACAGTTTTACGGCTGGTGGAGATGGAGTCTTCTTACCTGACTGTAGAATTTTTCAGGAAGCTTCAACTTGAGCCAGAGAAGAATTCTAACCCATCTGGTCCAAATGCGGATCGATATTCAGATAACCATCTGAGGAGGATAGGTATGTAGTTTAGTTTGCTTTGTGCCTTTTTCACCAGATATACTGTTTAAGATCCATTCTTTAGCAATTGGCACATGTAAAGTTAAAAGCCTCTGGAATGATACCTCTATCCTACATGTCTCTGTTCAATTTGTGCTCAACATTTTCTCTTTTGTGTGAACAAAGATTATCTAATGTACTGTGATAAGAGTGTTAAAACCCAATTATGTTCTGAAATATGTCATTACTTTTTGAGAAGCACTGAGGAAAATTATACTGCATACACTGTAAAGTGCACAAAGGGGAAAATGAAATTTTCATTTCTCACGCATGTCGCTTGATTCATATCAGGATCAAATGTCTCTGCTTATGTTGGTATGGTTTGCGACACTCTGAGGAGTTCAATTCCCAAGGCTGTTGTTTATTGTCAAGTTCTTCAGGCCAAGAAAGCATTGCTCAACCAGTTCTATGCTCAAGTTGGCAGAAGGGAGGTAAAATATCTTCAATCTTACTCTTTACATGTGCACATATACATACTCTTTCTTATGCATTAGGTCCCTAGGAACATGGAATGGATTTTTGGCATATATGAGGTTTTTTGGTTGGCCATATATGAGTTACTTATTCCAGTACAGACGATTTTCTCGAATATAAAATACAACTGAGTGTTTGACAGTGACTGAAGACTTGCTGGGAATTTAGTACGTTTCTCCCTCTCCTTAAGCTCTTCCTTTGCTTCAAAATCTATGTGACTTACTGTGTATCACTTTGCATAGCCTGTTGTTTTATGGAATAAGCCCTCACACTTATCGAATCTCTTTAACGTGGTGCTAGTTCTGTTGACGGTATCACAACTTTGACTCATCAATCGTTGGATACCTTTTTACGTGGCTGATTTCTCATAGAATTAACAAATATGATATCCTCCAAGTATTGTAGCTGTGCTCACATCCATTGCCATCATCTCAGTTAAAGGTTTAAGACACAAAATCCACTCAAGCAGATCTCCATGGAGATTTTTTTCATCTTTAAATCAAAATAGGTTAAAAATCTTGGAAATGTCAAAATTGGATACGTTCTTAGATTGTTTTTCAGAATTAAGGACTTAGGGTTTAACTTCTGAATGACAGGCAAGATTCAACATTTTCTCACTCATAGATATCTAATGAATTATTTCTCCCGCTAGAGTTGTATCTGTTAGAAATATAGCAGTAGTCTAGTTTATTAGTTTATTAGGATTTTATTAAATTTTTTTTTTATTTTTTTGTCGTTATTGTAATGTTATTGTAATTTTTATTGACTATATATACGGGTTCTACACTTAATTTGTATCTTTTTTTTCTCTCTTTTAAATATTTCAGAGCCAGACCTAACCCTACCCCAAACCCTAACCTTCTCCTCCCTAACCTAGCCTCCACCGAGATTGCCTCACCGGCAAACTGCCTTCAAGCAAAACCAGCAACCCACCGTTACTGCCCACCAACCCACAGCCTGCCTGCCCACCAACCAACATGCGTGACTGCCCATAAAGCACCGACCGACTATACTCAAAACCATAAAGCACAGATCAAACACCAAAATAATACCCACCGATAGACCAAAACCAGCGAACCTAAATCAAAAAACCATCCACCGACTGAAACCAAAACCAGAAACATCATCCACCGACTGAACATACAACCCCAATCGCAGACTGAACCCCAGCGAACCAAAACCAAAAAAAAAAAACTGACTGAACCCCACCGACTACCTGCTGCCCAGCGAAACTCCACCGACTCCATATAAACGCCACCGACAACCTGCTGCCCAGCGAAAACACCAGCCCAAACCTAGAAACCGACAGCCACAACACACCGACACCGATAGCCTCACCCAATGCCCAACCCACTGCTGGGCTCAATCACAGACTACCTCTTCGCTGATAAACCCAAGTCCAATTAAATAAACCCAAGTCAGTAAATTGAACCCCAACCCAGACCACCCTAGAGAATCATATTAAATCAACTCTGATTATTTGGGACCGTAGGACCTTTTAAGAGGGGTTGCATCCTCTTCTTCTCCGTTGATATGCTCTTGATGCAATAGATCATATATTTATGTTTATTGAATTTCTGGGCATCGTGACCTCATTATTTGGGAGTTTTCTGGACCTTCTTTATCTGTCGCTGCTGTTCGACTGGAGGTATATTGTTCTTCCTTATTTTATCCCTCTATTTATCTTAGAGTTGTTTTTCTGTCACGGGTGCCTTAGTATTATTATTGATATGACTACTACTGAGGGACTTGAGACCCCTACTGTTGACACCTCTACCGTTGAGACATTTATGGATACTTCCACTTTTATATTTGACCAGTATACAGTACCTACTGGCACAATTGCATTACCAGCACTGCCAGACGTGATCTCTCAGAAAGTTACGGCACAGTTGTTAAATGGTTGTAACTTCGCTGAGTGGTCTCGCTCATTCCAGTTTTTCTTAGGCCGTGTAGGGAAGCTTGGTTAGTTGACGGGATCTCATCCAAAGCCAGCTGATGCCGACCCTAGATATTCTGCGTGGTTCTCTAAGAACTGCGCTATTCTTGGATAGTTATTTGGCTCGATGGAGCCATCTATTTATAGGATTCACCAATTTTATAGCTCTGTTCCGAAGCTATGGAGTGCATTATCAGAGATGTATTCCCAATCAAGACGGGGAGTATGTGTTTATGAGCTTTCTCAGGAGTTCTCATATGCTCGGTGGGGAGATATGACTGTTCAGGATTATTATGGTTATTTGACCTAGCGTTGGCTTGAGTATGAGACTCTACGTCCTCTCGCTACTATTCCGAGGATAGAGCCCAAAGGAGCAGCATTCTTGCATACTCGAGAGCAAGAGGATAGGATTCACAAGTTCCTTATGGGGCTTCGTGATGAGTTTGAGGGACCTCGTTCCCAGATCTTATCGATGTTGACACTTCCTTCTCTTTATGAGGTGTATGCGATGATTGAGCAGCATGAGCGCTGCGTCCGTATTGGATCACTTCCAGTTGCGGCTTTGACTGATCCAACTGATCATATGACCCTTGCAGCAGCTGCAGGGTCTCGTTCGAGATCCTTAGTCAGGGGTGGGCAGCGCCCGGACCAGCTCCGTCAGGGTGCCCCAGATCAACATAGACAGGGGGATTCTCGTCAGTGTGATTATTGTGGCCGACCAGGACATCTCAGGGCTGCTTGTTGGAAGCTCCATCCGGAGCTTAAGCCCCCTCCTCGTGGCCGTACTGCTGCTATTGCTAAGGTTGAGGTACCCCCACCGACTACTGGTACTACTGCTACTGTTCCTCCTTGGCAGAGTGATATGGATGTTATCACTTCCCGATTAGATATACTTATGTCCACTCTGACTTCTCAGCGTCCGACTATTGCGACTGCCACTACTACAGGTATACCTCATGCCTTTCATGCTTGTGCTAGTCTGTCCCCTCTTTGGATGCTGGACTCAGGTGCGAATGGTCACATGACATGTGAGATCCATCATTTCACCACTTTTGACGAGCAGTTACATACACAGGTTCAGCTAGCAGATGGGACACATGCCCCTATTGTTAGGAGGGGTAAAGTTCGCCTCCCAGATGACTTTACATTACGTTCGGTATTTCATGTGCCAAAGTTGGCCATAAATGTATTATTTGTACATCAGTTAGCCAGAGATTTTCACTGTACGGTTGTGTTCTTATTTGATTCGTGTTATTTGCAAGACCTGAGTACCAGGAGGATTATTATCAAGGGACATGAGAGAGATGGACTGTATTATCAAGGCGATCCACCTCCAATTTCACCAGTTCTTTCACCTCCATCATCAGCTCCTGCTTTGTCTTTATCTGTTTCTAGCTTGCATGCTAGTATTTTACCTAGTACTTGTCATTATGATTTTTCGTCACAAATTGTTCAGTTGTGGCATGATCGTTTTGGACATACAAATTTTAAATATTTATGTATGTTGTTTCCTACTTTAAGCAATGCTTGTATTGGTGGTAAACTTGATTATGTTATATGTTCCCTATCGAAACATGTTAGGATCAGTTATATTCCTCACATGCACCAGTCACCCAAGCCATTTGACCTAATACAATCTGATATTTGAGGACCCTCTTCTGTTACTGCTCTGTCAGGTGCTCGATACTATGTGACATTTATAGATGATCATACGCGTTGTACTTGGGTTTACCTTTTGCATAGGAAGTCTGATGTACTCCCTGTCATCACTCAATTTCTTCAAATGATTAAGACACAATTCGATGTCATTGTTCGTGCTCTTCGTTCGGATAATGCCAAAGAATATGTGTCTGATGCCTTAGTGTCTCACCTTTCTTCCCAGGGTATCCTTCAGCAACTCACTTGTCCATATACTCCTGAGCAAAATGGAGTTATTGAAAGGAAAAATAGGAGTCTGATAGGGATGGTACATTGTATGCTTAGAGGTACGGGGTTACCAAAATCTTATTGGCATTTTGCTGTTTTGACTTCTACCATTTTGTGTAATCGTACACCGAATCGTGTTCTTCAGCATAGGGCTCCCTTACAGGTCTTATTCCCTGAGTGAACACTTTTTTCGGTCCCCCCTCGTGTTTTTGGTTGCACATGTTTTGTTCAGGATCGGTTCCCTACTCGTCATAAGCTTGATGATAAAGTGATTCGTTGTGTCTTTGTAGGCTATTGTCATCAATCTAAGAGGTATCAGTGTTATGATCCCATCAGGCATCATATGTATCATAGTCTAGATGTTACATTTCTTGAGCATATTCCTTACTTTTCTTCCAATCTTGTGTCTTCCCCTCCAGTTGATGATACTCCCTTCAATTTTTCATTACCACAGGAACCAGAACCATTGGTCACTACTATCACTACAAAGTCATCAGTCTCTCTTCCTCCAGAACCACTCATCCCTGTTCGTACAGAGTCATCAGTCTCTCTTCTTTTGCAGGTTTATGTTTGTCAACCTCGCTCTCATCCCCCTGTTGATGTCCCCTCTACCTCAGGCGATATAGGTAATACTTCTCAGTTCGTTGAGCAGATTAATGCACCTGTTGTTAGTATTGACGAGATTGTAGGTACTGAGCCAACTAATTTACCTGATGAGACACTGTCAGTGGAGGATGATGATTTAGGACGTTGTTATCCACGACGTGATCGTCGTCCAGTTGATCGTTATGGTTGGACTGCTAGGATTTTATATCCGATCTCTGCTTATGTTTCTTATGATGATTTATCTCCTATATTTCGAGCTTATAGCATCGCCTTATCAGATACGTCGGTTCCTCGCTCTGTTTCAGAGGCTATGTAGGAGTCCCAGTGGGTTCTTGCCATACAGACAGAGATGGACGCTCTTCAGCGTAATCATATATGGGATTTTCTCTCCTTACCTTCAGGGGTGAAGCCTATTGGCTGTCGCTGGGTTTACACCTTGAAGTTTCTTGCGGATGGTACTATTGATCGTCATAAGACTAGGCTTGTGGCGAAAGGCTTTACTCAGGTACCAGGTCGTGATTTTGGTGCTATATTTGCCCCTGTGACAAAATTGACTACTGTTCGGTTGATTATTTCTCTGGTTGTGGAATACTTTTGGCCTCTTCATCAGTTAGATATGAAGAATGCGTTTCTTCACGGTGATCTGGACGAGATTATTTATATGGATGCACCACCGGGCTTTCGTGGTGAGGGGGAGTATGCTGGAAAGGTATGTCGATTGCGTAAGTCTCTTTATGGACTGAAACAGTTGCCACGAGCCTGGTTTTCTCACTTTAGTGATGTAGTCGTACGATTGGGGTTCACCAGATGTCATTCTAATCATACCTGCTTTATTCGACAAAATACTTTTGGACAGTGTGTCATCCTTCTGGTATATGTTGATGATATTATTATTACTGGTGATAATGTTTCTGGGACTGCGCAGGTCAAGGTAGACCTTGGGAAGGCCTTCAATGTGAAGGACCTTGGATTTCTGCTATACTTTCTTGGGATTGAGGTTGCCCGTAGTAGCAAGGGTGTTCTTTCTCAGAGAAAGTATGTTTTGGATCTTCTTTCAGATACTGGGGTGCAAACCGGCATCATCACCCATGATTCCAAACCTGAAGCATATTGCTGAAGGTGAGGAGTTGAGAGATCCGACAGTTTATCAGAGGTTGGTAGGTAGACTTATCTACTTAGCCAACACTAGGCCGGACATTTCATTCGCAGTCAGCTGAGTTAGTCAGTTCATGCACAGGCCGTGTTAACCTCATCTTGATACAGTTTATCATATTCTTTGGTACCTTAAGTCTTGTCCTGAACTTGGGTGGTTCTATGCATCAAGATCTCAGACCGGTTCTCTAGCCTATTATTCAGATTCAAATTATGGGGGAGCATATGACGGTCGATCTACTACAGGCTTTTGTGCTTTTCGAGAGACTCATCTTATCTCTTGAAAGAGCAAGAAGCAGACAGTTGTCTCCTGCTCATCAGCAGAGGCAGAATATCGGACATTGGCACTTGGCACGTGTGAGATTATCTGGCTACGATCGATTCTTGGTGAGTTGGGATTTTCAGTGACTTCTTCATCCACATTATATTGTGATAATCGATCTGCTATTCAGCTCGTTTCTGACTCTGTACTACATGAGAGGACAAAGCATATAGAGATCAATGTTCACTTTCTTTGGGAGAAGGTTAGCAGTGGTATTGTCACTCCATCGTTTGTGGGGACCAGTGATCAGGTTGCGGATGTTTTTACCAAATCTGTCACTCTATCTATTCTTCGGGACTCCGTTGTCAAGCTTGGCTTAGTTGACATTTTTGCGCCAAGTTTGAGGGGGAGTGTTGGAGATATAGCAACAACCTAGTTTATTAGGGTTTTATTAAGTTTTCCTTTTTACCTTTTTGTCCTTATTATAACTTTCATTGATTATATATACGGGATTCTACACTTAGTTTGTATCCCTTTTTTTCTCTCTTCTAAATATTTCAAGTGTATCTTTGCCAAGAATTCACGATTGTTGCTTGCCACCTTTTTGCAGTCATTGTAGTCAATTCACAGTTCTCCCAAAACTTTGCATTGCATCTCTCTTATTTTTTCGATAAGAAACAATAATTTTATTGATAAAAAAATAATGAAAAATGTATTACAAGAACCAAAACAAACGTGGAAAGATAAAAATTACAATCCAATAGTCGTTGTCCAACTCAAAGAAATGCAAAATAGAGGAATGCTCTCAAACTCGTTTATAACAGAAGCCCAAAAAAAAGCCAAAAAATGCATATAGCCCTATAAAGATTCGACCTCCTCCTCCTGCTTATCTTTAAAAATTCTTTCATTCCTCTCCATCCGTAACATCCATATAAAAGCAAAAAATGCACAATGCTAAAGAGTTTTCCCTCTTCTACTTCCACTCAACCCTCTAAAATCCACACAAAGCATAAATAACATTGTCCTCAGAGCAGCCAAAAAGATCCCAACAAAATCAAATAATTTATTCCAAAATGAAAGGGCTAAGGGGCACTGCAAAATAAATGATCCACACTCTCATAATCACTTTTATACATCACACACCATTGCTGTGAAAGACAATTCATCGGTCTCCTCCTTTGAAATACATCATTGGTATTTATCTTACCATGAACAATTATCCATGCATAAACTTGCAACTTTAAAGACACTTTAACCTTCCAAACCTTAAAAAATGGGGGAAATAATGAAAATGAATAATCATCAACTAAGGACTCAAAATAAGATTTGCAAGAGAAAATACCCAAAGAATCACAAATCCAAACTTTTTTATTCGACGAATTAGGAATCAATGAAACACCATTGAGCATCAAAAGAAGTAATAACTACTCCAAGCATTCTCTATCATTAAGATTCCCATGAAATCCAAAATCTTAAGTGACTGGAAAAGAGACAATAATGCAATGATAACTAGTAAGATGATAAAGGCAAGGAAATAGACTCAAAAAAGAATAATGTCCTAACCATTAGCTTGTAGGCTTGTAGCCCATATTTTCTCATAATAACAACATGCCACAATGAATCTTGCTTCCAACGGAAACCTCCATAGTATTTTCCAATAAGAGCCATATTGTTGTTCAACAAATTCCCCACCAATAACCCTTAATCTTAGGTTATACTCATACACAACCTCCTAACTTATCATGTGATTTTTCTTTCCTTCCTCACAACCTTCCCATAAGAAATATCTCATCATCCCTTCAATCCTCCTTGTGACCAAACAAGGCATCCTGAAAATAGACAAGAAATAAATAGGAATACTAGGTAACACAAACTGGACTAACATTGATCTACTCCCCTTAGAAATAAATGTCATTTTTCACCCATTTAATCTTTTTCCAATTCTCTCAATTACCAGGTCCCAATAAGATTTAGACATTGAATTACCACTTAAAGAAAAACCTAAATACTTCAACGGCCACCCACCCACAATAAACCCTAACTCTTTAGTCAATTCCTCAATTTTTCCTTGTCTAGTGTTAATCCCCACAATTTTACTTTTTTCCATATTAATTTTGAGTCTAGAAATCAAACCAATCACATCAACAAATTTTTTTCAATCTCTTCATCCCTCGATGAAAAGAAAATCGTGTTATCTGCGAATTACAAATGAGACATAGAGTTTCTTTACCTAACGATTACTAAACCTTCCACCAAATTGCACATTTTTATCATTTTCATTTACCTACTCAACCCATCAACCACCAAGGTAAAAAAAAAAAAAAAAGATAAAGGATCTCTTTGCCTAATCCCCCTAGACGCTTTGAATCTTACTCTAGGTTTACTATTTAGGATAACCGAAAAATTTATTAACCCTAGACAACCCTTAATCAATTGCCTCCACCTATTCCCAAAACCTTTAGCCCATGATAGAATCCAAAAAACTCCACTCCACATCGTCATAAACTTTCTCAAAGTCAATTTTCAACACTATTCCCTCCTTCCTTACTCTATAATTATCAACTACCTCGTGATCAACAAAGCCAAATCCATAATATGTCTCCCTTTCACAATAGCCCCTTGAGATTTTGAAACATTGTTAACCAAACACTCCATAAGTGGAACTAATAGAACCTTAGGAATAATCTCATATAAACTTGTCACTAAACTAATAGGCCTAAAATCCTTTAACTTGAACGATTTATCATTTTCTGAGATCAGACAAATAAAAGTGGCATTGTAACTACATTAACCACACCATTATGAAACAACACCTCAACACCACCAAATCATCGTTGAAATCTTCCCAACACACCTAATATAGGGTCATAGTAAACCCATCTGGCCTTGAAGTTTTATCTGTACTACACTAAAAAATTGCTCACTTAATTTCCTCGTAACTCAAAAGGCCTTTCCAAACACCTTGCCATCCCACCGACACCATTGAAACCCGTCCTTTCCTCTTCTTCTCCTTCTTTCCGTTGTTAGAGTATTAATATTAAGGATAGTTTGAGCTTTTACTTTATTATTTGTTGCCCTGCTATATAAGAGCCTATATTGTGTATTTTATGTTAGGTTGTATTACGAACTTATTTAACAATAATAATATTTTCTCTTTCTCCTTTCGCTCTTTTTTCTTTGACCAAAGTTTTCATCCACCACATTTTTTCTGATTTTTCTTTTTAGTAGGAACTAGTGATAGATCCATTTTCTCCAAAAAAAATGCTTTAGAACTACCCATTTTTCATCATCAGACACAAAACCCTCTGTATACTCGCTACTATCCTCACCTATACCTCCCAAATTCAGCTCATTTTTCTCACCACCATAATAAACAATGGCCCTAGAAAAACAGTATTTGGATTACTAGAAACAAAAATCAAGCGTGGCTAAGCTATTATCAGTACGCAAATATGGATCACAGTAACCTCCTTGCGCGACGCCCACAGGGACTGAATTGGAACTTCCCAGCTATCTGCAGTAACCATCTGATCAGATAGCCCCCAGCCCTCCCCACTGACTCCTGTTCATCAGAAAAAGCATTGCCCAAACCCTTCCCAGACCAGAACCACACTGACCCAACCCTAACTTCAATTTTTCCCCCTCCCCACCACTCTGAAGTCTGAACATAAATAGATTCCCCCCTTCCAGACAACAACTAACCAGAACTATTCCCCCAGAAGAAAAACCAACCTAACAGAGGAATGAAGACCAAACTCGTGAGAAAATGAAGAAAAACTTGGCTTACCAGTAGCTTCCAAGGTACAAGAAGGTGTATGAGCGATCATCTCCCTGGTTTGAGTACCCTCTGATGTGCAATTCCCCTAAACTCACCATCATGATCTCCTACTTGCTTCTGCTTCTCAAACAACTTTGCCACATCACAATATATTTCGTCTGATTGTATACTTCAAGCTTCTCCAAGATCACAGTGAAGCAATGAATCTGTCCAACTACTTCCCCTGTCATAATTTTCATCCGATTGCAACAGTACATTCAGATCACCACAATGACCTTGCACGACCTCCTAAAACATTCGCTTTTGTTCATCATCTATTCCACTCTCGTTATCAATATCAAAATCGTCTCTGAAGCCCTCGCTGCTCCCCTTTGTTTCATCGCCAAATCCCAAATACCCATCTGCACTCTGTCGCTCCATCGCCTTTTGGATCGCCTGAGCATCATCTCCAGAATTACTTAGCTTTCCTTCTCTTATAATTGGAAAAATGTTTACCTTTGTGTCCTTTCTTCCAAGTTAAGGTTCTAAAGAATGATTTGGAGGGCATAGTGTTTTCTATTTAATTTTTACATGTGAAGTTTTTGTCATACATGTTAACTAGTAGATCTAAACTGAGTCTCTGCTCAGATCAAGTTAGCTTGCAAGTTCTCCTCACATAACACCTCAGCAAATCTTCTAAGTCGCCACTGCGGAACACAAAAGAAATGAAATGAAATTCATTATTCTGTTAATCACATTCTCTAAAGATGACTAACAAACAAGTGCTCTCAATATAAGTGCATGACCTGTGAACTCCATTCAGACAACCTACTTCCCCATCAAATAATGTGCCTACCTTTTGGACAATTAGCTATTGTAGAACTTTTATAGATTGCAACGAATTTGTGTGCCTGACCTAAAACAGGGTCATGGTAACATCCTCAAAATGTATTGGACTGAGTGATAGGTTGATTTAAAAAACCAGTCTTCTTACCCTTAAATGACTACCAACTAATAAATACTTGCAGCATACAGTCCACTAGATTAGAAATTTTATGACACAGAGTTATGACAATTAGGTCTAAAGACTAAAACTAACTAAAAAGTCCACTAGATTAGAAATTTTATGACACAGAGTTATGACAATTAGGTCTAAAGACTAAAACTAACTAAAAAGGTAGGAGTTGCTTATGTGGCTGGCACAGGCGAAGCTGGTTTCTGATCCAAAATTTGGATAGATTCACTCTACCTCAGTATGGGATTGAGTCAAAACACAGGTAAAGTTGATTTTGAGTTAAGCTTCAGCAAGCGTTGGCCTAACAGTAGTTTGGATATGCAAACACACAATAAAGCAAATGCCACACAAAAGCATGCTAAAAAACCTAGATCTGATATTTAATATGGGTGAAAAATAAAAATAAAGTATTAATCATCATCATCTGTTTAACATATCCCTTACACTAATCAAGTACTAAAATTAGATATTGAAACAATAATGAAGGTTAGCAATTACCCTGCATGCTTGATAGAGTCTGCATAAATGTTGATTGTCTCTATTACAGCTCTCTGAAGTACAAGCCACAATGTCAAACCTTTCTCATTTTAAAGTTCCACTAAATGAAGAGTTCCTCTTTTGGTTTCTTTCATAAGAACTTCATCAATAGTGAACAAGTGATACAATATAAAAGTTTTTTGTCGGACAAAATGATGGATAAACTAACAAAGCAGCTTACTGAAGTCAATAATAAGACAGCCTTGGCTATTGGAGGAGCAACAGAATGAACATAATGTTTGAATATCTGAGATGGCCTTCAGGTTCAAGCTTGCAATTCAGTCATCTTTCATTCTTTTTTGGGCAAATTTATCTTTCATTGAAGGAGCTAGTTTGATTAGTTGAGTATCCACCAAGCTGGATGTGTACATGGTTGTCAGATCATAACCCAATGTTATACATTTTACTAGGAAAAACTTTAAGAATTTTTCAGCATTCTGACAACATGAGCGTGATTTTGTCTTGAACCACATAGTTTCTAAAGGTTGTAAAGTCGGCTAGGTAGTTGCAGCATTCAAACACTCCTGAGAATAGCAAAAAAAATCTGTTTTACAACATAGAAGATGAAGAACAGACATGAAATGGGAGTTTTGATATTCTTGGTTTTTCCTTGTCCCTTTTTTGTTGACCATCAAGTTGAATGTAACAAGGCTGTCATATTATTACCTTTTATTTTGGCTACATTAGGGGGTATCAACTGAAAAAGTTGTTTGCCAAATCCATCCCAGCATATTGATAAAAGGGTTCGGGCAATCTAATTCCAACTTGGAGGAAAAGGATGAGGAGATGTACAGTGAAATGCTATTGTGCTTATTAATTACAAAGTAAAACATTTTCCTGGCGAATGTATGTGCAGAAGGAGCAGCTTGGTAAAATGTTGGATGAGGACCCGTCACTCATGGAGAAAAGAGAGGTTCTGGCCAAGAGGCTCGAGTTGTACAAATCAGCAAGAGACGAGATTGATGCTGTTGCATGGAAGTGATTAATTTGCGATCACAACTAATAGACAAAAACTCGAGGCAAGCACATCTTCCACGAGTTCTAGGTACTATGCCTCTTTTCTTACAAGAAACTGCATATTCTTTTTGTACTCAAAATAATGAAGCCCACACGCACCAGAGGAGCTTGGATTTAGGGCTGACATGACATTAATTCTTTCATTTGATTTTTCTTTTCTTTTCTTTCAGTTTTTTGTTCGATGTAACTTCCACTTCTACATAGCATTATGTGAAAGACATGAACAATAAACCCATTGTTTATGATTTTTCATTGGTTGGCAAGTATTTCAGGTGTTCTTTGGTAACTTTGCTGGAGCTATTCATCTACTTACTATTTTGATGCATTATTCATTTGTGCTGTGACAGCTACATGGGTACTTTTCAACTTTTTCTTAATTACATGTTCTTGCAACTACAGGTTTGCCTCTCTTCCTGGACGATAGTATCTTTAGGTGGCTGAGGAGTAAGTGCTTGCTGTAACAAAGTTTGAATCAGAATTAGACCTGTTTCCCAGAGGACAGCATAAATACCCTTAAACTGTGACCATCCATGAAAAATGCCCCCTGAACTGCTAACCATCTCAATTTTCTCCTTTAACTTTAAGATAAAAATGAGGTTCCAACATGAGAACGAGTGATTATATGTTGTTGACATTTTATATTTCTATCGATAGACGAAAGAGACCGTTGAAACGATTATAAAAACTCAAGAACTCAGTTAATACAACTAAAAGTTTGGGAGCGTTTTAATACCCGAGTCGTTTATGATATTTTTCCTTATTATTAGTTGTGTAATTCCAATAACAAAGGAAAAAAAAAAAAGAAAAAGAAAAGACAAAAAGTATTTCATCAATAGCCACCAAACCAAAACTCTTTAATTTGGTGATAATCGGCTCTTAAAATCTTCCCATGTCAATCCTTTTTCAAGGTATTCAATATCAGTGGGGTCAAAAGGCCCTTTTATTCTATCTATGGACTTAATCTTTGCCTTCTGTGGAAGAACACTCCGTGATGGATCCGGAGAAGTCCTGTAGCTCAAGCACGATGAGAATCCCTGAGACAAAACCAAATGTATGAAAATTTTCAATGTTTGATGGACCCACAGGTCTCTCAGTAGCATTGCTTAGTATAGCTTGAATATTAACAAACCTTGAAGATGAGAACTTCTACTGCATGCTCATCTACCATTGCATTCACAAGAAGTGCTTCGTCCCTCGCAGACTGACTATACAACTCCAGCAACGCTATCTCGGCATTGTGTCCATATTCTTCCTTGTCATCATCGCCTTCATCGTCGTATCTCACCCTCCTCCTTGCACTACAAAGAGTACTGCGCGAAACTCTCCGACTAGCTGGCTTTATAGCTTTAATGGAGGAGGACGAGGAGGAGGAAATGCACACTGCTTTGTACATGGAAGGAAGAGGTGAAAGAGAAGGTGAGGAGAATGCAACCAATCCTCCTAAAAACTTCAACATGGGGTAATACTAATAGGAATAGCCAAAGTGGATGATACGCTTGGGGGTCTTCACTGTCTCACACAGAGATAGAATGTATGGGTTGGATAAGGTTCACACACGCTTTATGTAGACCACCAATTTTATTTATTTTTTTATTTCTTTATTTTGATTATTTATTTATTTTGGTTTAGATGCATATGATTAACCGTAAATTATGCACACTAAAGTGGCATTTGATACCGCTTATTTATTTTTGTGTTGTGTTTAATTTTTAATTATTTTTTTTAACTTTATTTTTTGAGATTTTCAAACACAAAAATATTTGATAACGATTTTATTTAGTTTGATATAAATTTATTTACCCATGAGAATCCAAAAAATTAACCCATCTCTCACAATCCTTGGCCATCTACCCACCTCCCTCAACCATTATCACCGTCATCGTCGGCTCTATAGTATCTTTGAATCTATGACCAATTTATCCCATTTATCAAACTTTTTTACCGATCTACTGCCGTTTTTAACTTATTTACCAAACTATCACTGTTTTAAAAGTGGATTTGACAAATTCGACTTTATAGAGAAAGCGAAATTGACAAATTCGACTTCATTTAGAAAGCGAATTTGCCAAATCCGACTTTATAGGGAAAGTGAACAAACCAAATCTGACTTCATTTAGAAAGCAGATATACCAAATTCGTTTTTTGTCTCAACTAGTAACTTTTAATATTTTATCTAATTTTTTTATTGGGATACCACCCGAAATTCTTGACTTCATATTTTTTTCCCTAAAAAATAAATCACTCATTTTTATTATATATTTAATTATTTAATACTTGATTAATTTGTAATTAATATATTTTGAAAAAAATTAATATAATGGGATCAATTTTTTGAATGCTCAAATTTTATATTTTATCGTGTCTTCATGCACGGGTTATAACTAATAAATTTAGATAGAATCTATCAGTGGATTTTTAACGACTAATAAATGTGAGTAATTTATTCACAAAAAATATAAAATTAAAGAGACCAAACGTATTCAATAAATAATCAAATACTCTTTTGGCGATCAACACAATTATACATATAAAGATTTTGCACCTTGGTAAGTCTGGTTTTCATGTAAAGGCGGATTTGGTATATCTGTTTTCGATATGAAGTCGAATTTATCAAATTCGCTTTTTAATTGAAATCGGATTTGTCAAATCCGCTTTTCAAATGAAGTCGGATTTGCCAAATCCACTTTTAAAACAGTGATAGTTTGATAAATAAGTTGAAAATGACAGTAGAAATTTAATAAATAGGGTATATTGGTAATAGATTCTAGTATCTCTCTTCCAACCCCTCATCATCTCTCACTCTTCCACTCATCAACAGAAATTATTCCAAGTCAAGCTTCTTTTTTTTCTTTGTAATTCTACTCTAGTTAAAAATTCATCAAAAAAACAATTTTATTGTTTTAATGTTTGTTTGATTTTGGACCTAAAGCATACACATATATTAAAAATTTGTGGTTTCCGTAATATTGTATCATTATAATTATCATTATTGGCTTGATCAGGTCATAATGAATTTATTTATCATAAATATTCTAATTTCAGTATGAATGACATATCTTTGACCGAACTGGGGAGGAGATTAGAAGAGAGTGTGCGGAAATTGCCCGAATAGTTTTGATTGTTGAATCAAAAAAAAAGAAAAAAAATTGTAAACCACAAAGTTTTTTTGAGCTCAGCGGCTTGCCACCCAGTGGTGGCTCAAGTTAATTTTAGGCTTAAAGCGAAAATATTAAATGAAGGTTTTTTATTTTTAGTATTATTTTTTTAAAAAAAATTAATTTATTTTAATTTTCTATGTGAGAGTGAGACAAAATAATGATGTATTAATATTATCGAAAAAAAAAATTTAATTTTGTTTTTGTTTTTTTATTTTTTTTTAACTGGAGAGAGAGAGAAAAAAAAAAGTAAAAGTAAGTGGGAGTAAATATGAGTTGATTTTTAAGTATTTTTTTTATTTTTTTTTAATTTCTAAGTTTTTAATGTAATTATAGGTCCAAATGATTGCAATAAAAATTTTAATTGTATTTAATTTTTGGGGGCTGTTTTATAGGTTTAAAATTTAATAGATTTAATTTTTTTTGTGGGTTTGTGATGTACATAAAATTATGTGATTTTCTAAAAATTTAGGGCTTAAAGTCTATTCTTTTTTTATCATACTGTTGGGCCGGCCCTGTGGCCACCGTGGCATAAGCTAATGGGTGGCTAGGCCTTAGAGAGTATGAAATGAAATTGAACTTTAGACCTCTGAATATTAAAAGTCAGGTTCAACCACTGGATCATCCTAATTTTTTTTTTTTTTTTCCTGGGAAGGTGGATGAAGGTTTACAAGAGAGTAAATATGTAGTAATAACATCTGAAATAAACTATCCAAATGGGTAACTGGCTAACTATCTGGCTAAAAACTACTTTGATTAGCTAGCCTATGAGAAGTTGTATCCTCGTGTACTGAGTTTCTCACAGTGGTGGACGGTCATCAGCTTGGACTTTGGAGTGTTCCATTGAAACTCACAGAAGACTCCATCTTGTGGGTAGGGTGACAATTAACACGAGTTACTCAAACTCGGTTTGGGATCGAATCGGATAAAATTTAACTCGAGTTTGATTCGTGTTTTAAATGAATTAAGTTTAAATAAATTTTTAGACTCTTTTAGAAAAACAAGTCTTAAAGGCTGGGTTCAAGTACGCAAAACTCGACTTATTTATATGTACAATAGTCGAGCTATTCGATTCGGCTTGGGCTCGGCTCAAATTCTAAACAAGTCAATCTTGAACAATTTTTTAAACTCATTTAAAAAAACGAACTCGACAGCTCGAACTCAAGCTCATAAAACTCGACTCGATTAACAGCCATACTTGCGGGTTAATGCGTGAACCTGTTTGAATCTCTTAATGTCTGGTTCATACTCCAGTCAGTCCAGGTGTTGCTCTAGCATGGTTTGATATAATTGACAATTTATAGAATTAACCAAGGTGGTTTTATATGATTTAACATCACTGTGCGTACCACCATTTGAGAATCACTTTCTATTACTACATAGCTCCAGTCCTCTTGATCAGCCCATGATGCATAAAAAGTGAGTATGATGTTCCAATTCAATAATTTATGTTATTTGTCCTACATCAATTTACTCAAACAATTATCAGGTAGGGTGATTTAACGGGTTTCGGTCAAATTTCTCATCCTAAAATTAAAGATTTTAGTTTTTAACTTCACATTAGAGTTTGGTGGTTGACCGTTATATTAGTCTAGCTAGATTTATTTTTCAAAGGAGTAACAAATATAGTCAGGAGTCTCATAATCCCATCAATAAAGGCCTATCGAGGTAGTCTCTGAACGCTCTCTTTTGTCCCAGTCTTTTTTTAATAACAAAAAAAAAATAAAACAAATTCTCAAACAAGAAAAATCTAATCTACTAGTAATTTAGGGGTAATGAAATTTTGCCTTAAAAAAAAAATCTTAAAAGATTTTCATCTATTTCTTTCTAAGATTTAAAGTCTTATATTATGCCTTGAACCCATATTTTTTTGTTCCAATTTGGGACACAGACTTACGAAAATGGAGTAAAAAAGATACATTGCTACCATTTAAAAAGTTAAGGTTTATTTTTGAAATTTTTTTATTTTGAAGGGATAAAATTAAAATTTTAAAATTTGTTAGAGGCCAAATTGACAAAGTCATATTTACCGAAAAGTTTAATAACTACATTTATTTAAGAACAATGCTATTAGAATCTAATTTACTGACATAATTCACTATAACCTTTGGATTGACTGTGAAATCCATCAAATTTTGAAACTTGGTGTTGATTCAATGGTTCTACTGAAGTCATATCATTATATCAAAAATTTTGGTCAAATTTTTAGATATAAATAATATTACTCTTTATTTAATTGCATAATAAATAAAACAATCATATATAAATCGCAAACAATGACAACTTTAGTTTAATGAAGGATTCTCTTTTCTCTCTCGCGTTATCTTTCCTATTTTAAAACCCTCTCTCTCTCCATTTCACATTCCTCAGTCACCAATCACAAATCCCAGTTCCAGACTTCTCAATTTCATGTTTCGAAGTCCAGAATCAATTTTATTCCCACCTAAGTTTTCACTTAGATCTGTTTCCAAATACCAGCTAAAACCCCATCATTCTTCGATGCAAATTTCACTTCCTCCACTCTACTGAGCTGTGTGTTCACAGAGAAAAGTGTTCTGAGTGTGGGTTTTGGTGTTATGTCTGCTTTGCAGAAACTGCCGCAGAGTATGGCGACTGCGAGCTGTTATGGGTCGATGCTGTCGTGTAAGGCTGACGTTTTTGTGCCCGATCAGTTCCCGGTGGGGTTGAGAGTTCTTGTAGTGGATGATGACATTACCTGCTTGAGAATTTTGGAGAAAATGCTCCGAAGATGCATGTACATTGGTAAAATTTTCACTTTTTACGATTTGGTCTCTTTATTCTTTGTTTTTGCCACCGTAAATTATTGATTATCTGATTAATATGTCCAGAAATGCCTGCCAATTTGAGCTTAAAAAACAGGATATTGTAGTTGTCTAGTTGTGGGTTTTTTGTTATTTGGGTAAATTTATGACGCATTACTCGTATTAAAGTGAGTTTCGAAGGAAAAGTATTTATTTCAGATTGAGGTGGGAGATTTTTGGTTGTAGATTTAATGCTTTGGACTCCGAAGGAATAGACAAGATAGCCCGGGTTCCACCTCACATAAATTTGTCCTGATAATTACCCGGTGCATATACCATATGGACTTACCCCATGCATAAGGAGCAGGAGGAGTGCATGTGCCATGACGAATAGGCAGGTGCAATAAGAGGCATGGGTATCTCTTTGTTGCCTGACATGAAGATGGCTGCTTTCTAGAAGTGCCCATGTTCGTTAGCTTTTACCAAAGCCAACCCTTGTACCTGAAGTTCTTTTGATTTAATCTGTACTTGCCTGCAGTTACTCCTTGCTCCCAGGCTATTGTTGCTTTAAACATACTACGGGAGAGCAAAGGCTGTTTTGATGTTGTATTAAGTGATGTTCATATGCCTGACATGGATGGCTTCAAACTCCTCGAACGAGTTGGGTTGGAAATGGACCTTCCTGTCATTAGTGAGTAGTACTTCTCTTTGAGCTACAGGTAATCAATCTGTTTATTTAAACTAACATACAGTCTATATTGCAGTGCAGTGATGTCAGCAGATGGAAGAACCAGTGTTGTTATGAGGGGAATCAGACATGGGGCCTGTGATTACTTGATTAAGCCTATACGTGAAGAAGAGTTGAAGAATATATGGCAGCATGTTGTGAGGAAAAAGTGGAATGAAAACAAAGAGCATGAACATTCAGGTAGCTTTGATGAAAATGATCGGTGTAAACGAGGAAGTGACGATGCTGAATATGCTTCTTCTGTTAACCAAGGATCAGAAGGTCTATTAAAAACACAGAAAAAGAGGAGAGATGCTAAAGAAGAAGATGATGGTGACATGGAAAGTGATGATCTGTCATCATCCAAGAAGCCACGCGTTGTATGGTCAGTTGAGCTCCATCAGCAATTTGTTAGTGCTGTGAATCAACTTGGGATTGATAGTATGTACTCTTAATATTTGTCCCTCATATAAGTTATGCATAATTTATTTGGTATATTTTAGTCTATATACATATCTTGGTACAAAGAATTGCAATTCGTTGCTACTATATCTCCAAGATAATTTAGCACGTCCTGATGTTTCTTTTCTGTAGTTACTACTTACCTCTGTTTCTTTTCTTTTTTTTTCCCCACTGGCACTGCAGAGGCTGTACCAAAGAGAATACTTGAATTGATGAATGTTCCAGGTTTAACTAGAGAAAATGTTGCAAGCCATTTGCAGGTTTGGTTCTTGTCTGCATAAGCATTGTTTCTTCATAGCATCATTTTTAATCTAAATTGCTTATACATCATTTCATTGATACCAAGAATACGTGTGAATAGAGGATGAAAAATGAATAAGAAAAATTGATACCTTCTTTCAAGAAACACTTTAAGAAAAAAGTAACAAAGGAACGATGAAAAAAAGGAAAAGAAAAAGAAGGTCAAACCTATTTAACGATGGCAAGAAAAATAATTCATTAAAGCAAAATCTTCATCATACGGATTGCGATAGGCACGCACAAGGGGGCTAAGACAAGGGAATCCACTATCTCC